TTAGCGGGGAGCCGCGGCGGCCGCGCGCGCGGCGGCCGCGGCGCGCCGCCGGGCGGCTCCTACGCGTTCGCGACGAGGGACGCCTGGGCCTCGCCGAGGATGTCCGCGCGCGCGGCGGCGACGCCCGGGTCGTCCTCGAAGGTCTTCGACGCCCGCGACCGCCGGCGGACGCGCGACTCGTCGCTCGCCAGCGCCGCCTGCGCGTCGGCGACGTGGCCCCGGGCCGCGGCGATCTCCGGGTCGTCGTCGAAGCACCGGGAGTTGCGCGACTTCCGGCGCACGCGCGACGGGCTGCTGGGGTCGTCGTGGTCGAACGGCAGCGCCGGCGACGCGGGCGGCGGGCCCTCGGCGACAGCGACGTCGGGCGCCGCGCTCGGCGCGGCCGCGGGCGCGCCGGCGTCGGAGGCGTCGCCGACGAGGCACGCCTCGGCCTCGGCGACGACCGCAGCCCGCGCTGCCTGGACCTCGGCGTCGTCGTCAAACGTGCGCGACGTCCGCGACCGCCGGCGAACGCGCGACTCGTCGTCCGGCTGCGCCGGCACGGCCAGGGGGTCCATGGGGCTGCCTCGGGTTACTTGCCAGCGCGTGTCGTCACAGCTGTAGCGATCGTGTAGTAAACAGTTTGAAACTTCAATAAAAAAAATCCCGGTCCTAACCCTGGCTCTATTGAAGGATCGCCGCGGTCCCAATATGCAATGGGCCTTCTGCCGAGTTCTCTTGTCCCGAGTCACTGCGTGATTTTCCCTCGATTCTTTAAAGGGGGCAGCGTGATCCTACCGAGGTAGGATAAGATAGCTGGGCAGATTCGCATAGAAACTAGACCACCCCGAGGAGTCCACAAAACCCCGATTAGCTTCAGGCTCTTGTGGTCCCCACATAGGAAGGAAAACAGACCGTCAACACTAAGCGTTCATCCCCCCAATATAACCCGCAGAGCAGAGCGGCGCCGGTTCAAAGACTATCGAGGGAGGCAGCCCCTCTCGATCGTGGACGGCAGCTCGGCGCGCCGCGCGGGGCCGCGGACACAGCTGCCATGGCGGAGCACCCGGCAACTGGTCGGAATCGCGGGCGCACGGCGACACGCCAAGTGCGCGAGTTGGAGGACTTTCTACGTACATTTGCGCCTGATAATCCGCACCGGGTTCCAGCGCTCCGAGCGCGACTGGCCCGGAGACATGTGAGTGTGAAACTCAAGAAGCGTCTGCTCTGGAAGACGGTCGCAGGGGGTGATGTGGACTTTCTCCGTCGGCTGATCGAGTTCGAATTCGCGACGGCGGACCTTTCCGCGAACCACCACGGCTGGACGCTCGTGCACGAGGCCGTCGACCGCGGCAACAGCGGGGCGCTCCTCACTCTGTGCGCGGAGATCGTCGGCAGCGTCGACAAAAAAACTTCCAGCGGCATCTCTCCCGCGCACGTCGCCGCGTCTCGCGGCGACGGCCTCGCGCTCGTGGCTCTGAAGATGCTCGGCGCGGACCTGACCGTGCTGGCCGCGGACCGCATCCGCTTGCGCGCGGCCGAGCGTGACACTGCCGACCGCTTGCGCGCGGCCGAGGGTGAAGCTGCCACACGCTTGCGCGCGGCCGAGGGTGAAGCTGCCGAGCTACGAGAGCAACGCGACCAAATTCGAGCCGCCGCGTCCAGCTTCATGCAAGCGGTCGGAATCGCGCCGCCGCCGCAGCCCGAGGCCGCGGTGCCGCAGCCCGAGGCCCCGCCGAAACCGCCGGTATGCTGCGTCTGCCTCGAGCATGCGCCGAACGCGGCCTTCCTGCCCTGCGGGCACAAGGCCTGCTGCAGGGACTGCGCCGTGGTGATCGCCGCGGGCGCGTCCTCCGCGAGGCGCGGGCCCGAGTGCCCCGTCTGCCGGAAGCCGCTTTCGGTCTCCGCGGCATTTGTGGAGATCTTCGAGTCATAGCCGGCTGACTCGTGTGCTCCTTCTTTGCCGCTCGCGCTCTTCGCGTCAGTTTTTTTTTTTTTTTGCAGGCGAGGCCGCTCCTCCGAGTCGACCCCTCTCCGCGCCGATAGCAACATACATGGCAGACATAGTGCGGCTTAGCCGGAGGGGCGGTCGAGGGGGGCGGCGAGAGAGGACGCGGCGCCGCCTACCACGCGTTGGCGTCGAGGTTCTTGGCGTTGTAGAGGATGACGGCGGCGAGGACGTTGACCATGCCGAGGACGTACTCGGCGTTGAGGGACGTGCCGAAGAGGAGCATGGACATGACGCCCGTGAGGAGCACGGAGATGGCCGTCGCGTAGCCCTTGAGGACCGCGTCCGCGAACTTGAGGACCGCGGCGACCGTGAGGCCGCCCATGGCGGAGTTGCCCACGGAGATCATGGCCTTGTAGTCGAAGCCGTACCAGAGGCCGTGCTCGAGGATGTTCGCGGAGTCGGTCATCGCGGCCCACGCGCCCTCGATGACGAGGGACGTCATCGCGAGCTGGATCTGCGTGTAGGCGAGGCCCGTCTCGCGGGGCGACGTCGCGCCGTTGGCCTCGGGCGCCGGCCGCTGGGCCTTGATGACCTTCTCCGTGTAGACCGCCGCGAAGCCGCTGCTCAGCGCGATG